TGGACAAAGTGGATCATACACATAGACTCAGTGACCGATTTCTTGAACAATAGGTGCAGAATCTTATTTTGAAATCACGCCAATCGATAAACAAAACATACAAAATGACAAAACCAAATGGCGATCTACAGAAGAAAAATAGCACACAGTGATTTCACAAATGATATCTCAACGGTAATATATAACAATAACTTACAAAGGGGATAGTTAAATTTACCTAGGATTCTTTTGAGAACAGAAAAATGAAAGCTTGATAGGTTTAGAAAGCACCCAAATCTTTAACAATGGATTCTCCTTCAACAAAACTAAAGCTTTAATGGTTGGGTAATGTTTCAATGGAGGAGAGGAAAAAAAAGATAGAAACTTTGGAGGAGAAAGCCAAGACTCCAAAAGACCCCAAATGGCTGCCACACTCAGCTGCTGAGTCCTTTAGGGGGCGTTTGGTTGAGGAGAAATTTTTTGAATACTGGGGAAATAGAATTGATAGGGAAATGGTAAGAAAGTGAGATAGATAGGAAAATGTAAAAAAAAGTTGTTTGGTAGGAAAAAATTTTACTGGGAAAATTAAGTAAATTTTGTAAAGTCTATGTTTGGAGTTTGATAAAATATAGATGGGAAAAAATTATGGTTTTACTAAAATAACCTTTATTTTAAAAAAGGCTGAAACCCTTTACCTTTCACTCCCTTGCCTTTTCAGAGGGTATAAAGGAGGGTATAAAGGGTGTCAAATTTTTCGGTGCACAATGCTTTTATCAGCTTTTAACAAATTCCCATCTTCCAAAATGCTTTCTAAACAGTACAGATCGATAGCTTTCCATGACAAAATTTAAAAAGCCATCCATCCTTGAATAGCTGGCTTTCTGATTAAAACACCTCCAACCAAACAAGACATTTCAAAAAGCCTTGTTGCATTTGCATAGGAATCCTGCAAAAAGACGCTAGCCAAACGCTCCCTTAAAGAAAAATTTAGGGTTTTGCTACCCTTTTCTATTTATATTGTCACTTAAGTTAAACTAGCAGTATTAGTTTAATTAGTTCTGCTCTTCGTTTAACTCTAAAATTTTAGATTCTTAACCTAGATATTTTTCTAGGAATTTTCATATATTTATTTTATTTTTTCGCAACACTTTTCCGGTACGCGTTTTCACGCTGACAGTATTAGTTCTGGCACCATTTCTCATTATTTTAACTTGAAACTCGTTTTACAAGTTCTATATATTATTCTAGTAATATATACTCACTTTTCATAATTTTCCGGGATACTTTATCGGTACGCATTTATAGCGATTAGCAGAACCGGTATCTGCACTTTTCTTCCGAAAAGCGACTTTCAGCCTTCTTAATCACTTACTATAATTATTAGAGCCTCATAATAATTATTAGGGTCAATTATGAAATTATTTTCTAATTTCACATAATTAATTAATTAACTTTCTTAATTAATGGTGCGGGTTTTACACCAACCTCAGACCAATAGGTAGGAGTTCGACACCTCCTACCATACAATACATCGTAGGGTGCAATGTGTAACAGTTTTAGGGTGATAGGATGTACAATACATCGTACTGTCCATCAGTCTGAGGGTGATAGGATGTACTCAATCTCAACTTAGTACCAAAAGCTCCTTGCAACGCCTCTCAGAACCGAAATGTGAAATTCGGGTCCCTATCACTAATTATACTCTCGAAAACCCTGTGAAGCCTCACAATCTCGCGAACATATAGTTTGATCAACTGTTCTGTAGTAAAGCTCACTTTTACCGGAAGAAAATAGGCAGACTTAGTCAATTTGTCCACAATGACCCAGATAGAGTCATAACCAGCCTGAGTCTTAGGCAATCCCACTACGAAGTCCATGAAAATGCTCTCCCACTTCCATTGCGGAATCTCAAGAGGTTGGAGTTACCAGACGACTTCTGGTGTTCAATCTTCACTCTCTAGCATATCAAACACTTGGACACGTAAACAATTATATCTTTCTTCATGCTCGGTCACTAGAAATTGAAAAAAGAGTAAATGAACCAATAGCATGAAAATAAAAATTGAAAAAAGACCAATTTTTTTATGTTTCTTTGTTCCAAGACACATAAATTATTGAATACAAGCGTAATAGGATGTGTTATTAATTAGAATTTGAAAATTGGAGCAAATGAAATTCTCTTTTTCTCTCACTCTTAAATACACACAACATGGAATATATGTTATTAAACATAGGGAAAAGCTATACTTATTATCATTTTATTCTTATTATTTAAGAAATTACTGTTGAATTAATTAATTTGAAATCAATAATAGCTAATTTTTTTTCTTTTTCAACTGTTGATTTTAAATTGATTAAACGGTAACCGAATAGATAGTAAAAGTAATAATTAAATTCCCCCTTGGTTCTCCAAAATCATTTAATCCCCTGTATGTTTTTTCTATTGCTCACCTCCCCGGTAATTTTTTTTCTATACAAATCCATCTTTAACACTGTTAAATATTAGGATAATTTGTTCATTTTTCTCTAATAAACCACGAAGGAGGTACATGATTAAAAAAGAGAAGTACAAGTGATAAAATATTAAACCGTTTTTTTTTTAACTTTTTCCTTGCAACAAATCAAAAAAAAAAAAAAAAAAAACTTGAAGTGAGGAACAATGCAAATAAAGGATGTTCTTTACAATATCAATTATAATTTGTTGCCCAGGAAAAAAGGTTTGAATGCCTCACTCTGAAAAAAAATTAGAATTAAGATGATCATCGTTAATGTTTTTTGGCACTATTGCTATTTACTTATAATTATAAAGTAGGATTATATAACGTAAAGTTCTTAATTTTTTTTTAAATATAAATAGATTTGTTATTGGTGCTCTATTTCTATTATTTTAATATTTTATTTTTTTCAAATATTATTTTTTAATTTATTAAAAATAAATAGATAGAATTGAAATAAATTATTGGGATAATAATGATTTTTTCCTCTGCAACCATCTACCTATATAACAAGGGGTAGGATATTCATACTACCAAATTATTTTACTACCCTTTCATTACCACTTTAATCACCATTGGATTAGAGGAAAAGTTGAATGAAGAGAGAGAAAAAAAATAACTTTTGAATCCAATGGTGATTAGAGTGGTAGTGGAGTGGTAGTAGAAAAATTTGGTAGTATGAATATCCTACCTCATATAACAATGATGAATTCAATTATAACGATCGACAGATATAAAAAATACAAATAAATGACAAATATAAAAAATATATGTGGATGATATTTCAACAAAACATGTTTTATTTGTAATGGTGTTCTATTCAAGCCACATCAATTTTTATTTTATTTTTTAATTATTACAAGGGAAAAGTTCAAAAAACTCTCTTATGATTTAATATTTTATCACCTATGTCCTTGTACTTCTATTTTTTAATCAATTACCTCTCCTGTGCTTTTTAATGCTCACAGGAGCAAAATGGATATATTAGCCCAACATTAATGGATTTGGATGAAAAAAATCATAATAAAAATAAGTGATAAAGAAAAAAAAATATAGGGGATTAATATTTTTTGGAGCAAACCACATAGGAGGTTTTGAACTTTTCCCATAAAAAAAAAAACATTGCAAGAGAATATAATAGCTCTCATGGATATCACTAGGGGTGTTAACGAGCCGGGCCGAGCTGAATTTTGGTCTTAAAAGGCTAACCTGTGTTTAAAAGTGTCAGTCTGACTAAGCCTGTTATCTGTTATAAATATAATTATCGGCCGGTGGCCTGACTTATTTACAAAAATTAAAAGCTTGGTTTAGCCTGTTAGCATGTTTAAAAAAAAAATAAGACAACAAAAATTTATCCAAACAGAATATACAATCAACAATACTAGTAATTCCATAAATATTCATAAATTCAATTTATATCCAAACAACATAATATAGAACAAAATCATTCTAAAAGTTTGTTTAACCAATAAAATGAGATTATATGAATTGAGGAGAAAGAGAGGGTTATTACAAGTAGTATAAAAAAATATAAAATAAAAAAAATATTAGGTCAGTCTGAGAGGCTTTAAGGCCGAGCTTTTGAATTGGAGCCTGAGGCCTTCTTATTAAACGAGCTTTTATACAAGTTCATGTCTGGTGTCAATAACCAATTTTAAACATGTAAGTTCAGGCCTACACGGACCGAGCGAAAGGCCCTTGGTATGTTTAACACCCATATATATCACAGTGTTTCATTCTCATGTTTGAGAAATTTATGAATTACATGTGAGCGATTTAATTCTTGGAATTTAATTTGTTATATATATGTCAAGTGATCATGAAAATTACATTTTTGAGTAATCAACTAAAATACACAATACTAAGAACCTTGCACTAGCTATAAATAACATTCATTACAATACTAAAAAATCTATCCCTGCATCAATCCACAAAGATTTGTTTCCTTAATTCACAAACAGACTCACGCGTACCTACTCAACGCATTAAATTATTCCTCACTCATATATTACAAAAATTTTACAGCTTTAATACATAAATAGAGTTATATTGACAAATTTTATTTTTTTTACAAATTTACAAATTATACTATATGTCTAACCGGTAATACTCTACTCAAGAATGTATTACCAGTTAGATATAATGTAGTTTGTAAACAAAAAATTTATAAATATAACATTTCTACCTCCATCAATGGTAGAAAATTTAATTATTTCGCAATATACACGCACCCCTCTGTCATGCCACACAGAATTGATAACAAATTGTTGGGCTATACAAGGTAAGGCACCCTTATATGGTATTGAGTTACTATCACGGGAAATTTCCACATTTGTTTAGGTGGTAGAATTGAAATGTAAGTATGCATAAAACGTGGTAGGTTTAACTGTAATTAAGTGATAAAAACTCTGCAAATGTCAACTGTTGTGTGTGTATATGGCAATTTATATCCCATATTAGGCTATATAAAGATCATAATGTTTGGACTAAAATCCACAAATTCCTCTATTTTTCCTTTTCACCACCATGAGAAAGAAGGTGAAACTTGCGTTCATTGTCAATGATAAAGCAAGGAAGGTATCATACAAGAAAAGGCATAAGGGTCTATTGAAGAAGCTTGCTGAACTCACCATTCTTTGTGGGGTTGAGGCATGTGCTATAATTTATAGTCCATATGAATCTCAGCCAAAGGTTTGGCCATCCCAAAGGGGGGTCCAAAAGGTGATCAAAAAGTTCAGGTCTATTCCTGAATTTGAGCTAAGCAAGAGGATGCTGAACCAAGAGAGCTTTATGAAGCAGAAGGTCCAAAAGGCCAAAGATCAATTGGACAAAGTGAGAAAAGACAATAGGGAGAAGGAGATGTCTTTGCTCATGTTTCAATATCTTACTGAAGGAAATATTATTGACAATCTGAGCTTGGTTGATTTGAATGATCTGACATGTTTGATCAATGAGAACCTGAAGGAAATTGATTGGAGGATGAAAGAACTGAACAAGAAGGCTTCAACAACTCAGAACCAAGCTCAGGTGGCAGAACAAGTGGTGGCAGATGGAGCAACTAGGCAAGCAGAGGAGGCACAAGTGATGGATCATGGCCAAGGGTTTGAGATGAACATGGACGCTCCACAAAATGAGTCATGGATTTTGGACTGGATCAATGGTGCAGATGATGAAGTACTGATGCCATTTGGAGATGCCAATTACCCCAAAAATTGATGTCTTTTTGTCTGTGTTCTAGGGTTCTCCCCTATAGTTGCTCGATGTTTTGTTTTCATATCCCTGTTTTGTTTAAGTGTATGTGTAGACGCAATAATAAATTGTCATATGTCTACACTTTTTTATGTTGTTTAAGAATATTTACTTTTCAAAAGTGCTGGTTATGTTGTTTAAAAATGTTTACTTTTCAAAAGTGATGGTTATGTTGTTTGAGAGTGTTTACTTTTGTTGGTTATCAATTGAATAAATACTCTATCTTTGTTATGGTCTTCAATAATTTTTCATTAGCAGTTCATTAAGAAATAGGTCAAAATAAAGAAAGTGATAGGGTTAGCTCCCGTTGTGTAACCTATCTCAAAGAAAAGGAATTTATATATCATCGTCTCAGTGCCTAGCCCACTCCATATAGTTTATAAATTTAGTCATATTTATGGTGCTATAATGAAAGATTTGAATTAAAATATATAAATAAATTTATGACTACCTTAAAATATATAATACTTCTCTACATTGTTTTAAGCATATGATATAATTAACTTGTCATCCTTTAACGTAGTTTTTGTTGTGTATACGTTAGGGTTTTTTCTGTGCCGTTAATTTGTTTCATATAGTAGGGGATTATATTACGATGGTATTGGATACTCATCCACTACTAAAAAAACATCAATTAGATATGGAATAATTTCGTCACTAACTTAAATATTTTCGTCACTAGGTAGATTAGGGACGGACAAAATTTCATTACATTATGGCTAGTCAGTAACAAGTTGAGATGGAATTATGAATCTGTCCCTAATAGAGACGAATTTTAGGACGAAACAAATCAATTTCTATCTGAGACGGAAAAAATTTTGTCACTATCAAAGACAAAAATAATAATTAGGACATATATTACATATATTGTGGATGTTGCATTCCTAAGAAAAACTCAAGAAGCCTGTATCCCCCTTTAAGGACATAGGCAAATCCTCTGACTCCCAAAGATTTTCTAAGAATTTGTTTGAGAGAGGGTTTTTACCCCTAACCTAATGTTGTTAAAATCGAGATCTTAAGTAAAATCAAAAGGGGATTAAAAAATCGTAAAACGTAAAATCGTAATATAAAAAAAATCATAAAAAATCGTAAAAACGTAAAAGCGTTTGGAATATTAGTAATATCGTTTTCATGAGAAAAAACAATCGTAAAAACGTAAAATCGTAGTAATAAATCGAGATTTTAACAACAATGCCCTAACCCAAGCAAATCCCTGGAAGCTCAGTTGCAAACTGAGTTACCCTTGAGGGTTATATCATGTTTTATTTAACATGAGAGAATTCACTCACAGCAATAACCTTATATAATAAATAATCGGTGTTTTCTCCAATACTATTAATTTGAGATTGAAAACCTAAATTCCTTCTGCGTTTTGCAACAGTTCCTAGTCCACAGCACTCGACACCTCCCAAGCTTGAATTTTCGCAGCAAGGGGTTTTATGACCCTCAATGTTTGATCCTTTTCTTCGTCACCCTTCAGTGATGTTATTAGTTTGCTTCTTTACTCTCATTGCATAATTTATATCAACAAACAAAACTTGTAATGAAATAGGAGTTATGTGCACAATTATTACCTTTGGCTAATTACATGAAACATTCGATAGTCATGGGAAGACTTGTATACGTGTTCTGATTCTGAAGTTTTCATGCAAGTAGCGCGAGTTAAAAGATTATGATGATTTTGCTATGAGAGTATCCGAGGAAGAGGAAAAGATATGTGCATATATATTCAGTCTGTTTTTTTTTTTTTTGAAGGAACATGGTGTGATATGGACCAGGAAACAAATGCAGATCAATCTTGTTAGAGATATTAATATGAAATTATTAATGTGAATATTACTTATTAATTTAAGTTTTTGTGTTGAAATAATTATTTATAAATCTAAAGCTTTGTAGGTGAGGTGTGAACTTGGAGATCGTGTGGGAAAAATTCAATTTGGGATTAATGGTGTGTTTTTTAAATAATTTTATCTGGGGATTTATTAGTTAATGACATATTGAGGGAAATTTTAATTATTAAGTTTTTCCTCAAACTTTTATCACAAATGAAAAAATATCAGTAAGGCAGTAAAAAGGTTTCATGTATCAGTAAAAATTGGAGCCAACTTATGGTTATACAAGCATCATCACGAATTTGATGGTAATGTATTTGATTATAATAGTTATAAGGGAGGGGTTATATTGATAAACTTTTTTTCTTACAAACTTACAAACTATATTAAGTCTGACTAGTCAGACTTCAATCAACTGCTGTACCTAGATTCAGTACATCCCATCAATGAGAACATTACACATTAGAGGAGAGAGAAAAAATTTGACAGAAAAAAAAAATTTTAACTGACATGTAATATTTTCATTGGTTGGATGCTCTGAATCTTTGGTACAGCAGTAGTACCAAAGATTTATTCCAAGAGTGTGACTAGTCAGATTTAGTGTAGTTTGTAAGAAAAAAAGTTTGTCAATATAACCATTCCCTAGTTATAATATTAGATTAATACAAAAACTTTTAATAATAATTATAATATATTTTTTAATAATAATGCTATTTAAATATTAATACAAAAAAATTTGTACCAAATGTTTTCAAATGTCAAAAGTAATGGCTAACACAATATGCAACAAAATTATTATACTTTGATCTTTTAGTAAATCGTTAGATCATCAAAATACATTCTTACCGTTTAGAATTTCTCTTAAATAATTAGTTAAGGTTGGAATATATCATTCTAGGTTCCTATATATAAAAGCCACTAGATGGTAGCTAAAGAATATGGTCCGAGTTATCCTTCTCTAGTTGTGTGCCGGCGTCACTTCTAGAAAATAATAGATCATCGACGAAACTTTTTCGTCAATACTCATGACAGAACTATCGAAATCATGATTTTTTTTTTTCAATCGAAATTCCGACCACAGTAACCTCACAGAAGAAACTTAAGGGGCGTTTGGTACAGGTGAATTTTTTTTTTACTAATGAAATGTGATTACTAAGAATATGCAGGAAAAATGAATTAGATAGGAAAATTAAAAAAAAAATTGTTTGGTTAGGCAAAATATTACTGGAAGAATTGAGTGAAATTCTTGAATCTATGTTTGGTTGAAGATAAAATATTGATGGGAAACCAGACTGAAATTACAAAATAACCATTTACAAAGTAACCTCTTTCTCTAACTAATGTTGAAGTCATCAAAGGGTAATTTTGACATCTCCCATGTTCACCTTTTTCGCTTACCTAGCTATCACTTAAATACCACCTTCCAAGGAGGATTTGAACACCATGTTTTTGTCCAATTTTGCATACAAAGTTCAATTGCTAGGCAAATGTGTTAGCTAGGCAAATTTATAAATATCCTCTAACAAACATGGACAAACCAATTACCCACTTCCAACTGCCTAGCAATATTTCAAGATGTCATCTAACAAATACACCCTTAAGGACTTAAGGTTGGCTCACCTCAGATGCATGTCACAATAGGTTAATATTATCTCCGATTCGATCGAGTGAGTTTTGTAATTTTTTAGCTAATATTTGTATTTTATTTTTCTGTTATAGAATAATATAAATCATTAAAAAGTCTCTCACCCAACACTTTAAGGTTTTGGGTTGAAATGATTCTTTACATAGTGTCAGAGCTTCCTTGACCACAAGGTCATGAGTTCAATTCTCACCGCCCCTCACTTGTTCTTTACACCCCCTTCCTCCCTCTCTTTATATTTTGGATAGTTGTTAACATACCTCCCTTCACCCTTTTCTTCATCCCAAAACATGATCACGTCGATCAACTAGATAATTATTAATTGCTTTCACAAGTGATGAAGTATGTAATTGTGGTACAGACACAACATAACTAGTTGCAGTCACATCTTTGAAAGATAGTTTGATCAAAATCAAGAATTTTGAATCTTTATTCTTCCCATTCAAATATTTTGGATTCTCCTACATTATCAATAATTAAATCATATATATAGTGTTCACTTAATACTCTATTCAGTTGAATATAGCTTGTCCTTGGTTGCCCGCCATTTTGCTGATGCTATTACAATATTCTTTAATAGATCCCATACAAGAATCAGTCTCCTTTTTAAGTTTCCTTACCTACATATTTAAAGGTGAATCATTTCTGTAATGGGTATCATGTGCTACGAGCATACAATCTCAATTCCCAAATAGATTATTCTTTGCATTTCAAACTAGATGTAGTTATAGGGTAAGAATTTTGCTTCTATTTTTTTATTTTTTGATAGTATAATATAAGCTTATACTACGAGGTCTTATGCATCATACGAAACAGACCCTTAAATCCATTGCACAATAAAATAAATTATTCTTTGCATTTCAAACTAGATGTAGTTATAGGGTAAGAATTTTGCTTTTGTTTTCTGTTTTCATTATGTAAAATCAGTCATAAATTTCCTTCTTTTTTGAAAATGTCGCAAATATCTTTTAGCATCACTACTTTGTTCATATAATATGTTACACACAATGTATTGACACTGCATTATCCTCCAAGATGCACCTTTATATGAACCTCTGCATATGACTTAATAACTTCACCATAGACGCACTATAGTTTTTGCATATTCACGTGCACTCATTATCTCACATACACACACACACTCATATATTAAATACAAACTTCTCACTTATTACCATAGAAACAAAATCCACAATCCAAAATTACCAATATCATAGAAACAAAATCCACAATCCAACTATTAATGTGATTCATTTTTGCAATAAAAATGAATCACATCATTAGGCCTACCTTAAATTGAAGTAGAACAAGCGAATAGGCACTAATGAATAAAAAAAAAGCAACAATAATGTCGTGTGGGGCCACGTGAAAAGAAGAGAAAGAGAAAAAAAAAATTATAGGCATCACATACTTGTATATGTGCATACGAGGTAATTTCACCTCGTAAAGTTAAATTTAGAATTTGAGAGACCCTTAACACATATAGGAGAGGAAAACCCCCCAAACAAGGATGAAATTTACACAATTAACTAAAGCAAGCCTTACTAAAAAAAGGGGCAGGCAAGTGTCATGTGTTTTTTATGGATCCCTATTAATTATTTTATGGGTCGGTTGTATTAGCACAATAATTATTTCATGGAGTACCCCTTTTCGAGCCTATTATAGCGAACGTGCAATCGGTTGTATACTTAGCAAAACCATGTGTTTATGATTAAATCACGAAATTTGTTACATAATATCCAATAAGTCGAGAACTTATCAACTATATAAAGTAAAATACGCATGAAAATAAAAAAGGATTTTTTTTATATGGTTACACGACATGAGGTAACCATTCTCAATGATGCTTCTTGCAAAAATATTAAAAGGCACACCAATTAATCTACTTTACTTATTCAACTGACTAGTAAATTTTGAAAAGTGAAACTATCATAAGAAAACAATGAGCAACTATAAGTTTTGGAAGTAGGAAACAAACATGTGAAGACTAGGTCACATGATGATTTATTTGCATATAGGAAATAAAGATGTGAAGACTAGACCATAATGACTTACGATTGTGCCTTCACATTTACACAAAAGGACAATATAATCTAAATCATAGAGAACTGAAATGGGAAAAATGCATAAAGCTTTGTTAACAAAAACATGATCTTTTCAAGGAAGTAATGGGTTCAAAAGCCATTTTGGAGATTGGCATCTCCGGATGGCATTGTTCCATCCCCATTACCATTGATCAAGTTCACAAACCCTTGCTTTTGCATGGTGTCAGCATTCATATCCAACCCATGGACTTGATCCACCAGTGTCACTTCTTCATTCATGGCTATTGGTGCTGCCATTTGGGGTTGGCTTGTAGAGATATCAGCATTCTTATTCAGTGTTTCCAACCTTCGATCAACATTCTTCAAGTTCTGGTCAATCAACCATGAAAGATCATTCAAATCATCCAGGGTCATATTATTATGCAGAATCTCCATTGCACTAAGGCTCTGAATCATAAGCAGGTTCATTTCATTCTCCCTGTTATCCTTCATCTGTTTCTTCAACTGCTCTTTAGCCTTCGCAATTCTTTGATTCAGGTAAGTCTCTTGGTTCACCATCTTCTTGGTTTGCTCCAATTCAGGCATTGTCCTGAACTTGGACAGTACCCTGTGGACCCCAAATGGGGAAGGCCAAACCACTAGTTTAGGATCATATTGACTATAAATTATAGCACAGGCTTCAATGCCACAGAGGGTGGTGAGTTCATTCACCTTCTTCAACAGACCCTTCACTCTTTTCTTATATGACGCCTTCCTTGCAGCATCATTGACTATGAATGCGAGTTTCACCTTTTTTCTGGCCATGGTGGTGATTAGAGAAGTTGTTTGTTGTGGCTTCTCTTATCATAAATAATATCTTCTTATATATAGAACAAAATATAGTTAGTCCGGTTTTAGGGTAAACCTTTGTTGATGGTATTTTGTTTTGTGTCCAACTGGCGCAGCACAATAAAATGTCACTTTAAATGTTATTCCATCTATGGAGGATATAGTGAATCAAGCACTTTTATGATTTTCTATTTATAAAAATTATAGAAATGAAAAAAATTAATTAATTGGGTTGGTGTGAGAGGATTGATATTCATAAAAAATCTTATTCTTATTACATTCATGCACAGATAGATTATAATTTGCAATATTCGTAGTATCACAAAGGGCATGTTATTCTTATTCTAGTGTAAGAATATAAAAAATTAAGCCATTAGGATTGGTCTAACAGTGAGGGTTTCGAGTGGGTTGTATTAGGATATATGTTCAATTTTTACTTATATAAAAAAGAAGAAAAGTTTATCAATGCCCTTGTGGTTTGCTTTAGAATCTCCTATATCCCTATGATTTTTTTTCTCACATATGCCTATGTGATTTGTAAAAAGTAAAAAAGCACAATGGCATATATGATTAAAAAAACATACTTTTTACAAACCATAGGGGCATATGTGATAAAAAACAAATCACAGGGGCATATGTGATTCTGGAGTAAATCACAGGGACATTGGTGAACTTTTCTTTAAAAAAAAAGAATAAGAAATTTTACATTGAATTTTGTTCATTGATCCACTTGTATCCAATGACTAACATGACTATAAAATTATAGCCATTAGCAGTGGCAGAGCCTGGCTCCAATTTGAGTCCGGGCCAAAAAATTATATGTGTATTTATTTTTAATTAGTTAGTTCATATCATAACATATTTAAATTATATTAAATACAAAGCACCTGAGCAAGGAGCATCAAGAAAATTTATAATTTTATTAAATATTTTTTAATTTTACTAAGAGTATTTTTTTTTCATGCAAGTGAAAATTGAACACATAACCTAATACAACTTACCCAAATCTCTTACCAAAAATATTTTAAGTTTTAGATAAGCCAAATTGCAAATTGTAGCCCGAGGCAAATTATAATTAATTATATAATTATATATAAAGTATAATTTGCTAAAATTTAGCCCTAGCCGAGGCCACACCCAGGTTGTATGTGGCTTCGCCACTAGCCATTAGATAAATGTGAGATCAACGGTCAAGATTAAGAGCATAACTTATGCTAATATAAAATGATAGATCTTAATCTATTTATATTTATAGTAGATTATTAAAAAAATATTAATTATGCAATATTGTACATAACAAATTTTTATAAACCTTTCTGCTTTTAATATAATGAATGCATAAATGCTTGAATTTATGACTTTTTATGGTACCCTTGGACGAAGTACAAATGTTAAAAATTATATTAAGATTAAAAAGCTACGCAAAAAACTGATTGGTTCCAATCTTATAATTTGTTTATAAGGAAAGGGAATATATTAGGAAAAGAGTTTTGATATACTCTCCTAAAATACCTTTTTAATAATTCTTTTAATGATTAATAAAAAAATATTGAATAAAAAGTGAATATATTTAATATTTTGAAAAGATAAAAAGATATTCAATACTTTCTTCATTTAATAGAAGAATTTAGTATTTATCTTTAAGGAAACTATAATTTAAGTCATTAATTATATTGTTTTGTTCTAGTGACAGAGATGTCCAATCTAATTATTGGTATGTTTATATTGGATCTGTGCGCCCTCTCTCAGGTATCTATGGGGGATACCTTAGATATCAGCAGATTATTGTGCTCTATAATAACGGCATAGCCAAATGGTGGGTGGGATGTGCACACAGTGACAGCTAAGAGAGAGGGTTTAGAGTGTATGTACCGTATTGGTTTAACCATTTATTTATAGATGGGTTACGTGACAGAAATGTATTTCTAGGCCTCGTAGAAATATTGGGACTCAAGTCTAACTCCTTAGCTATCAGGATAGGATCGTCATTAATAAAAGATTTTCTTCCTTATTTGCATGACTTCCCTTTTAAGCTGTCCTTTATTGGACCTTCTAGAATGTGGGCCTTTATTAGGCCCATAACAGTTGCCCTCCAGCCCAGTAGTCTGGTGGTTCAGGTTGCCAGGGTGTAATAACGGTGGCCTCCACATTTGATGAACTTGTTTTTTTTTTCGACAATTTTTCTTTGGTTAGAACCCTCTCTTAGTCAACTTAATTTTGTCAGCAATTGCAGTATTGTGTTCTACCGAGTCCGGGTACTGAGTATGTTGTTTCAGTATTTCTTCCTCAACCTTTTTGGCCGAGGTAATTGCTCGGGCTGACTGATCTTGCTTTTTGATTGCCTTGTCGAGATCTCAACTTATAAAGGTTGTTGTTTTCCTTATTCTATTTTGATTATTGCATTACTGCGCTTGCCCCCTCGCCTGACAGTCCAGGAGTCCGAGCTTGTCAGGTTGTGTTATTTTTGAACTTTGGTCATGTCTGGATTCTTTTTATTTGATCCTTCTATAGGTTGTCTTGTCCGTACTTTTGCACTGTCCTATTTGGCTGACCGAGGTGATGGCCTTGAGGCATTTTCCTTTAATTTAAAATTAATCTTCTCCAGGATCCTAGATGAGTAACTATGTGCCAAAATGTTGATATATTTTGTGTTATAATTTGCTAATTTTTTAACTGATATTGTCGAGTTTGTTCCCGGTCTTTTTGTTATGATAGTTTAGATTTCCTCTTTTCGCATGCATGCTTTGTTTGTTGATTTCTGGCCTATCGCTTTGGAACAAGTTCAGCTTGTCGTAGTGTTATTTATGAGGGTGGCATGGCACTTCTTTGAGCCTGGCTTCCTTTATGTCAGCTTCCTATTTTGCCATGGCTTGTATTTGCTTTGTTCGACGTGGCTTTATCATTTGAGCCACGCTTCTTTGGCAATGACTTTTATGTTTGCAACTTGGCCAGAGTTGCTTTAATTTTCGGAATCGGCTTTTGCCTTATTTGTTTAAGCTCGGTTTTGGATACCATGGCTTTCAAATTTAGGCCCCGTTTCTTTTGCGGTGGCTTTATTATATGAGTCTGGCTTAGTTTGTCGTGGCTTTATTACGTTGACTTGCAAGTGTTGTGTATAAAGGTGGTTTTTCCCCTTATATTTTCTAGCCCGGCTTCGCATACCGTGGCTTTTCTTTATGACTTGGCTTTTGTTGCCGAAGGCTTACATTATCAGCCTAGGTTTTTATTCACCTCGACTTTTAGTCTGACCTGGACAAGGTTGCAATAATTTTTGTGGGCTTCGCTTTTTATCTTAACCCATTTTCATATATCGCAAATTTATTATATTTAACTCGGCTTTTTGCCAAAGTTTTTTGAAGGCGTCATGATGACTTGATCAGAGTAGTTTTCAATCTGCCTTTTAAATTTTAACTCGGTTTCATTTACCTTAGCTTATATGTATCGACTTAATTTAAGTCATTTTGGATCACGAAAGCGTCCTCTTTTTTTCCATCAACCCGGCTTAATGTCATGGTCCATGCAATGTGCTTTTCCTTGAAGTCGGCTTCGTACGGTACACTCTTAGATATCTGTTTTAGACTTCGGCTTAAAATATCGTGGTCACTTTTGATTGGTCAGTGTTGCTTTCAGTGAATATTTCTTCTTTATTTGAAAATATCAAATCTTTATATGAATTTGCCTCTTTGAATTACAGCCTGGCTTTTTCTGTCATGGCTTTTTAATTTGAGCCCCACTTCTTCCACGGTGGCCTTTTTATTTAAGTTCGGCTTCTTTTGCCGTGATTGCACCATTTTTAATTTGTGAGCCATTTTTATCTCGGAGGGCCGATCTTTATTTTAATAAATCATTTTCATCCCGGAAGGTCGATCTTTATTTAATTAGCCATTTTTCTGGTTGTAGCCCGGCTTCGCATACCATGGCTTTATTATTAGATTTGGCTTCTTTGCCAAAGTCTTGAGTTGAGCTTAGTTTATCTCGCCATGGCTTTTGTTAAGTCTTGAGTTGAGTTCAATTTATCTCACCATGGCTATTGTTCCAATTTGGCTTCTTTTTGCCTATGTCTTGAATTGAGCCTGGCTTCTCTTGTCGAGGATTTTGTTTTTGACTTGGCTTCTCCTGCCATAGTTTTAAGTTTGGCTTCTTCTTCCATAGTTTTAAGTTTGGCTTCATCTCAGATTGGGGTGCAATTCTTTCGTTAGAATCATGATCTCTCCAAATCTGTCTTCGTATTTGTTTCAGATTGGGGTGTGATCCTTCTCCTATGATCACATATCTTCAAATTCGTCTTCATTTTTATCTCGGATTAGGGTGTGATTCTTTTTCCAGGATCACAATCTCTCCAAATCCATCTTCATCTTTATCTCGGGTTGGGGTGTGATTTTTTTGCCAATCTTTTTGCCATGATCACGACATATCCAAATTTGTCTTCATCTTTATCTTGGATTGGGATGTGATCCTTTTGTCAGGATCACGATCACTCTAAATTCGTCTTCATCTTTAATCTCGGATTTACTATTTACCTCGGATTGGATTTCTCTAAATCCATCTTCATCTTCATCTTGGATCTAAGATTGGATCTCTTCGAATCCATCTTCATCTTTATCTCGGATTGGGATGTAATCTTTTAGCTAAGATCACATCTCTACAAATCCGTCTTCATCTTTATCTCAAATTGGGGTGTGATCCTTTTACTAGGATCACACCTCTCTGATTTCGTCTTCATGTTTATCTCGAATTTCGGATTGAATCTCTTTGAATCCGTCTTCATCTTTATCTTAGATTTATTATTTATCCCGGATTGGATCTCTTCGGATCCGTCTTTGTCTTTATCTCAGATTGGATCTCTTTGAATTCGTCTTTATCTTTGTTTGAAATTTACTATTTATCTCGGATTGGATATCTATGAATATGTCTTCGTCTATATCTCGGATCTCGGATTGGATCTCTCTGAATTTGTCCTGTCTTTATCTCGGATT